ATCCCTCTGGGACTATACACTATAATATTGAACATATTCTTTCCTCATTTAAATTGTTCTTTGAAGTCAGATCTTGAAATTAGGTCATGTTCAATTTTTCGAAAATTCTAGTAGTTTTCGCGTAATTTTGCGCGAAATGTAGGCAATTTAAATCTTTTTTCTCCCCAAAATTGCTTAATTTTCTTTTTTTAAGTTATCCTGTTGTACTATCAAGGGACGATACAAATATAGCGCTTGTCCCATTAACGGTGGACTCTCCATATTTCCGAACATTGCAGTTAACATTTCGACACAACAAAATTGATGATAGCGATTTTTGCCTTACACAAAGAGTTTAAAATATAGCTCGTTAAAAAGGTTCGTGTACTGTGATATATCAATTATTTAATACAAAAATTGACTCTTAAGGGCCCCTTCCCACTGCACCACGGCCGCAGCGTTCTACCTGCTCCGGTCCCTTTGTTCGTCGTCGCCGGAGGGTCGGCGAGACCTACCCCTCCAGACCCCACCCCCTTCCAGGGCGGGCGGCGGAGCGGCCGTGGCTCCGGCGGTGGCTGCGTTGGAAGAGCTCTGCTCCTTGAACGAAGCGCGCTGCGGCCGCGCCGTGGGAAGGGGCACTAAAACTAACTGACGAGGGAGAGAAACGAGGTCGAGTGGGACGGACGCAGAGAGAGGCCGAGCAGAGGATCCTTTTGTGTAGCCGTGTCGAATCGCGAAGGGTCGCGAAGAGGCGACAGAGTGCCCACATATTTATGGCATCGCTGGCTAGCATGCCGAACCCCGCACGTGCGTAATGCGAGCGCCCTGCACAAAAAGCGTCCCCCCGCACCTGCCAATTACTATTCGAAAAATGGCAAGCGGATCACAATGATCGACACTTGCAGTAATCTGTAGGACAACTGTAACCAGGAGAGCGTGCGAGCTTGATCGGGTGTCGTTAATACTTCGGGATTCTCGACAGTGAGGCAATCGGATACGCGCACCGCGTCTGCGTGAGGCGACGGGAGAGCGTAGTGCGCAGTGCTATGGCCTGATTTCCTGCGGCCCAATCCAAAATCCGGTAAAAAAATAAGAAAATGAAAAGGAACATACTATTGGAGCAGAAGAGAAGGCGGAGACTAAGTGAGTCTAGGAGAAAGGGATAGAATAAGCTGGCGTTAGGCAGGGGAGAAAATTTAGAGAAGAGACTGAAACAAGGACAGTGGTCGCGAAAGGACAGGAGATTCGGAGGTTAACGCGAGTGGTCGCAAGCTTATGAGATTTGAACGTTGAGAACGGCCATAAGAGACAATGCGACAACCGCGAAAATGTTAAGTTCGCGTAGTCATTAATACTGGCCATGAGTTGGAGCTATTCTATGGCAGAATTTATTACTCTGGCACCGTTGTGAGCTCGTGGCGGTAACTCGGAATGCCAATCAGTTACCGTAAAAGTAGTCATCGTCACGTGCGTTGTAATTCGGGATAGTTGGAAGGACGAAAATGCGGTCGAATAGAACCGAGAGACGAACGTTCACCAGGACTTCGGCGCCTTCATGATTGGCCGAGCAGAGGGCGATGCAGATGGTTTCATCATGCTGCGGTGCTACAAAGACAAGCGTCCGTTTTGCCGACCCTCTAAGCTGTTGTGAGGTCAGCGCTCCCGGGTGCCTGCGACATCAAGCGGGGTAACAATAATACAATAAGCACTATCCTTCCGAAAATTTTGAAGAAATAATTTGAGCGGTTTTTGAGAAAATGGTAGTTTGAGCGTTTCTGAAAATGCGGAATTTTCAGCTAGTTCTCACGGAAAAGGTTTTCGAGAAATTATTTAAAGCTCATCAATTTATCAATGTGTGAATAAATCGCCGCTAATGTAAATAATAACGACGTGAGAGAGAAGTCAAAATTTAAATTTTTGTAATGCTTGAAAAATCAAAAGAATAGAACCAACTGGTGTTTATATCATCTCATAGAGTACATTTAGCATTATCCCTACCGTAAGTTTAAAGAAAATATTTGGAGCCGTTTTTTAAAAAAATCTTGTTTTGTATTTTTTTTGAAATTACACATATTGCACGCAATATTATGCAAAACCTACCAAAATGTTAAAAAAATGTGAATGACCGTAATGAAAGAACTCACTATGGAGAACAAATTTTATTTTTATTTATTAATTTATTTTTAATCGTGTAGTTATAGGAAGACGTCCAAAAAATTTCAAAACGTTTGAAATTGCAGAGTTAACCGTGAAAATAGGACCTATGCCACCTTTGTAAGTATATTTTTACAAGAAGTTTAAAGAAAAAAATTGGGACTGATTTTGGGAAATATTGAAAATTGTCCGGGGACTTCATGTAATATATCCGCAAAATTTGAAAGAAAACTTTTGCATACCGATTTTTGTTTTTTTTTTTTTACCGTAACGTCACCATTCATTGGATATTTTTCCAGACTGAAAAAAGAACCTATCTGGCTCGGAGCCGTAAAAGATTTGAAAAGTTTTCGTTCAAATTTTCGGATATATACAGTGAAGCCCCCGGACAATTTTCAAAATTTCCCAAATCAGCCAAGTTTCTTTTTAAACTTTTTTGTAAAAATATACTTACGGATATGGAAGTCCACCGTTAATGGACACAGCCGCATATGTATCGTCCCTTATGATAGTACACACAGGATAACTTAGAAAAAAGACAAATGACAATTTTGGGGAAGAAAAAAGATTTAAATTGCCACATCGCGCAAATTACGCGAAACACACCTAGAATTTTCGAAAAATTGAACATGACTAATTTTCAAGATCTAAAATTCCAAAGAACAATTTAAATGAGAAAGAATTGTTCAATATTATAGTGTATGAAAAACTCCCCAACAATTCCACGTGATGCAATATTTAAAAATTCGGCTGGATTTATATGAACATGAACCGTGCACTTAAGTTCCTTTACGCTACTTGCAGGACCAAGTTTAAATATATAGAAATTGGAGCTATTTTGAAAAAAATCGAAAATGTTTTGGAGGATTGTGTAAAAGTTAGCCTCATAAATCAAATATTCCGGTTCAAACTCCCAAAAGTTATTCATATCTGGTCAGAGAATAACCATTTTTGCCGAAGAAAATCAGCTAAACGTTTAGCGCTGAGCTGTTACCACAGAACAGGCGTTGCCGTAATCTATTTTTCCGATATCCAAGGACCCAACAAAAAAAATGGATTCTTCGCTACTCCACGTGTTAGAGGAAATTAATTGTCGTTCGATAGCAACATTAGTTATCCACTTGTTTCATACCAAGGGACCCCGTTATAAGGTTTTTCTGAATGGAGAAATTTCACCCGTTTTCCGGCGCGCGATTACATAACTTTCCTCTTCTTAAGTAGTAAAATGCCGGGACCGTAAGAAAAAAAACGGGCGACTTCATTATTTCTTTTCCGTTTGGTTTTTTTAAACACCATTTTTAGATAAAAAAACTTATACTTAATTTCTTTCGGAAAAATTTGGGGGGTTTCTAAAGATTTTGGTTCCCTGGTTTCTTATCCCTTTTTCCAT